GAGGGAGGGAGGAAGTAAAGAAAGAAAAAAGGGAAGAAAGACGGGCCGGGATAGTTCAGGCATCTGTTTCACAAAGCTATATGAGAATTTTGCCTCTGTGGCTTCGGAGGAAATACTGCAGGGTGAGGTAGGGGTCCCTGGGGAAAGCCTGGCCTCTGCAGCCTTAGACCGAACGTGGCGCTGGCTCTGCACCGCCTCCACCTCCCCTCGGGCGTCCCCTACGCTGTCACCTCCCAACCCCGCCTCCCTCCCCTCGCTGCTCTGGCAGCCCGACCCCTCCCCGAGGCCGGTGCTGGCTTGGTCTGAGGAGAGGCCCGGGGCGGGGCGGGGCGTGCGCGGAGGCCTCGGGTCAGACTTCCTCCGCCCCAGGTCCTCCCGCAGCTGAGCAAAAGGAGCCTCGCAGGGTTCAGGCCTGAGCGGCTCTGCAGCTTCTGAGGAGGGGAATGAAATCCCACCCCGGCTGTTTCACCCAGGGCAGGGAGCGTCAGGTCTGTCCGCGCTGTCTGCCCCAGGGCGCACCTGTAGGAAAGCTGACAGGAGAGCTCCCACGGGGGCATCGCCCTGTGGGGACTGTGTCACCTCTGCAGGCCGCGGCCACCGAGCAGTGTATAGAGCAGAGCAAAAAGATGGAGGGGTGGAGACCCAAGCCTTCCCTCTCCCACTTGCTGTCCTTGTTTCTTTTCTTCCTTTCCCCTTTTCGGGCCTGTTTGTCTCGCATGTTATTCACTAGGTGAGATTTGCCCGCAGGCGAGGATATGAAACCAAATCATACTATACGCAGACGAGCTGATGTGCCGGGTAGGAAGACGGATGAGTGTCCATCGTTAGTGGCACAGATCCTAGGCTTGCGTACAGGGCCCGAGCCCAAGGTCCTCACCCCAGAGAGGAGGTGTAGGCGAGAGCCCTGCTCATGGGCGCCCTGCGCGGAACCTAGCCGAGGTCGGCATTTCACTCGCCAGCTGAGAGCCGAGAACTGCACTGGCTGCGGGGAGTCTCAGACACCCTCATCTAAATGTCCAGGCCAGAGCTCAGAGACCAGGAGTCTCCTGCTCACAGCCCTCTCCCCACGCCTGAAGTCTTCCATCAGGAAAACCCCTCAGCGCACAGTTAGAGGCAACGCAGAAAGAGCAGCACCCCGCAAGAGCAGGCCAGCTGGCAAGTTCACTGTGTGCTTTAAGGGACTCAAATCTCAATGTCGCTACTCCTGACAGATTAAGTATGCACTTATTCATTTAATTTTTATTTTACTTATTATTTCCTACTTTTATCTTGTTGTTGTTATTGGTTTTTGGTTTCTGGTTTTTGGTACTGGGATCGAACTCGGGAACTTGCGCTTTCAGGGCAGGCGGCGGCAGCACTGAGCTCAATCACCGGCCGGGCCGTTGTTACTGTTTTTTGAGACAGGGTCCTGCTATGTATTTCAGTCTGGTCTTGAATTCACTATGTATCTCCAACTGGCCTTGAACTTCAGTGATCCTTCTGCCTCAGCCGCTCCAGTGCTGGGATGAGTGCGTGCGTGCACCACCACGCCTGGGTAAGTATTTCTTTAATATGTAGGTGACACAGGCCCATGTGATGAAACCAAATACAGTGCTCACAGAAAAGTTCCTCTCTGGTACCTGTTTTTCTGCCACTCAGTTTCCCTATCTAGAAACAATCAGTATTGACATTAATTCCGAGATATACTGTGTATTAATGTGGAGGACCAGAAGGAAGGGTCCGTGTGCTTGAAGACCCTGCCCTCTTCTGTCTTCCTAACTCCCGCTCCAGTCACCAGGCACCTGCCCCGAGTCACAGCGGCCTGCGACATTCTGGAGCAGCTGCGTGTTAGAAAGAGCTGACAGCGTTCTGTGGCTGAAGGCTGTGAGGACACCTGCCGGGTGAACTATGACAGAACAATGAGATTTTGTAGGCAGCATTTCTAGACATTCAGCACGTTGTTTTAACAAGCATTTTAGGACGAGACTTTGAGGAAGAATTATACGGTAGACAATCAGAGAAAGGGCACGCAGGGCTCGGGGGTC